AAAAAAAAAAAAAAAAAAAAAAAAAAAAAAAAGAGTATTTGTTTTCCAGCTCCCCCCCCCCGACCACGTCCATCCAAAGCATTTGGGAATTGGCCACAGCGGCTCCGTCTCCAGTCAGGGCAAGTGCTGCTGAGGTGCAAGTGCCATCAGAGCCACCAGCGTGGTGACGGTGGGAGCACAGCCCAGGCCACCAGTTACCCCTCCGGGGAAAAGCCGGCTCCTCTGCGGACACGGAAAATCGACGCGGCGATTACGGGGTCGGTTTTGCGCTGGGGACATCTGTCCCCAGGCTGGAGGCCACCGACCACTTTCACCGGGGCCAAGCAGATGGCAGTGGCTTGTAGCCACCGCTGCCCTGGCCTCTACGAGCGGGTGACACAGGCGCTGGGGGCTCAGCCTTTATTTCCAGCCACGGCGAGTGGGTGGGTTTTCCCTGCAGCGTTTCAATACGTCAGTGGTAACTCTCCCCAGTTAACTCGGATATTTCAAAGCTACAGAAGCACCACAAACACCATTTTACTGAGAGTTTAAGAATAAACGGGTGTAGCTTTTAAACGCTAAAAATTTTGTGAACCGTTGGCGCGTTGGAGATGTCCACGTGAAAAAAGCCCTGCGTAAATTATTCGCGATTCCCATCATATTACAGACGAACTCGGGCTTCCTCCGTACTTTACATCGCTTAATAGAACTGCATACCGCGCTTTCTGTCAACTATTTAACTCGCAACACAAATAAAAGGCCCGGCCCACGCTGGACGCACCCAGTGACACCAAAGTGCAACGGGAAGTCGTAAAGCAGGAGCTGCTCGCCGGCTCCAGGCACGAGTGCAGAATCCAGACACCGATTTCTTTTCACGCTCACGACGCGCAGCAACACCCAGAGAGTTCACGTTCGGCCCCTACAGCTGCCCGGAGCGGGTGAAGCTGTAGGACAGGCAGCACAGCGCAACGGGACTGGGAAATATTAGGGAGCAAACCATTACGCACACGGGACAGAGAAAGAATCACCTGCCAGCGAGGGGCACCCGTTGCAGGGGAGGGGGAATCCAACTGCGCCGCTCGCAGCACGATGCGGGATTTTGTGTGGTTTTCAGGCAAAGGAAGAGATGAAGTTCTTCAAAACGGATGGGAGAAACTCTGCCGCAGCAGATGGTACGTCGTGCCCCGAGGTGGAGCGCTGCCAGCGCAGGCGGCACGGTGGGCTCCCCGGGGATGCGGCGTGGCCGTCCCCAGCGAGGAGGGAGGGAGGGAGAGACAGGACACAGCTCCATCCAGGGACACCAGCCCCATTCCCTGCATGGATTCAGAGCAGGAACTCAGCCGAGCCCCAGCCCCGCTGAATCACACGCACAAAGAAACAGCGAATTTCAACTCAAAGATCCCCGAAAGACAAAAACCACGTCGTACTATCAAGCTGCCCGAGGCCCAATTAAGATACATCATAAAAAAATGCAGCTCCACACCCAGTTACTAATTTATTGTGTAGACTCATTCAGAGACCTGTCAGACATTTCCATCCCGAGAGGGCTCCTCCCAGCCATCAGCTCTCTGGGTGCTGCATCCGCGGCTTCGACCCCGCGGAGTCCTGTGGTGAGCACCCTGCAAGAGCAGCATCACCCCCTTCCTTCCTCCTCCTCCTCGGCCACCTCCGTCCCTCGCTGGCAGGCAAGGTGACACCAGGCCACCCCAAAGAAGCAGGGACGGTCTTGCAAAGCCCCAGCGTGCTGCAACACCGTAG